AATCCCTGTATCTCAGAGCCCTGGAGCTCCAAGGCTGTGCACACATCATCCTTTATCTCTGTCCCACTTGGTCCATCTAAACATGCCCTATTGTTCTCCCATCTGCACCTTTTCTCCACTTCCCTCTCCCTCCCTGTATATTGTCCCCCTCCCCATCAAGCAAGCTCTCCTGAGCCCAATCCTGGCCCTGTGCTCCACCTTCTGCCCTTCCCCCCCACCCCCCACCCATTTTCCAGCAACCAACTAAACCTTCTCCCTACCCCCCTTTAGTATAATTTCTTTTTTCCTAAGTTCTTTTTTAAAGCCCTTGGTTATTTTTTAACTTTTGGCACTTGGATAATCTAAGCTTTTATGAACACAAATTTATGGGATAAAGACCAATTCAATTAATTTTCAGCTTACTTGCATTAGCATTGTTTAGGGTGCCTCACCCAGTATTTATACATTGGTAGGTAATTAATATAAATTTATACTTGTGCCATAAGGGTAAAGTTTTAATAACTTCACAATAGCCACATCTATTATATTTCTCAAGAGAAACAAGTGAGGGTGGGAGAGGAGATGGCTGAGGAGAGAGGGTGTGGGGGGAAAAAATGGTGGAAGAGGAGAAAAGCAGAAATGAGTGAGAAGCAGAAAGGGAAAGAAGCGAGTGGAGCACAGAAGCTCTGAAGTCGACAGCTGGGTCCTCGCTGGCACTTACTTAGGATGCTTGAAGGCCATTAGGCATCTCTCATACTTTCCCACCATGCTCCAGGCCATGACCAGGCCATCAGCACTTCCTGAGAGAAGGTGCCACTGATCAAAGCACAGGCACTTCACTGCTCCGTCGTGGCCACTGAGAGTCTACAAAGAAGAATGCACGGGTTTCAGTCCACTTTCTCCGAAGCTGGAGACTTCTGTAGATGCCCCACAAATCCACACTCTAGTGATCCATGCCTGCCACTTCCCCGAGCTGAATTCACTTTGGCTCACAGACCAGCGGAGTCCAAGGCTCCTCATCAGAGATCTCTCTCCAGTTAAAGAGGAATGGGTCTCTGACCTGGGCAGGCCTCATCTTCCTGAAGCACCAGATAAGGTCAGAAATGACCACCTGCAAATAGTGCAGAGAGTAAACTGTGCTTCCCCAGTCCCTTGTCAGGAATTGGAACGGCACCTGGGGTGTCCTTGTATCAGTGGCAACTGCTGGTTAGTTAGACCACAGTGACAAGATTGGTAGGAAAAGTCCAGAACCTAAGTCAGCAGCTTTCTCAGTGAGAGCCGGTGTTCCTGGCACAAATGCTATCTCAATACTACCTGCAAGGACCAGAGAGTGCAAACGCAACAAGATTATATCATTTGTGTGTGTGTGTGTGAACATTTCATCACATTCTAGACAGCCAGTACACTCTTCTCATCAGAGTAAGGAGAGAAAAGCAAGGCTTTGTCCATCCACAGGCTCCATTCTAGAACCAGAGTGGAATATTCAAGAGGAGAAAAAGAGATTTGACCTCTGCTGCTCTTTAAAATGGAGCCGTGGTGATGCCATAGGTTAGACATTGAAAGGTTGCCAGTTCAAACCCACCAGCTGCTTCATGGGAGAAAAAAAGAGATGTCTGATTCTGTAAAGATTTATAGTTTCAGTTGCTGTTAAGTCAGAATCAACTTGATGGCAGTGTGTTTGGGTTTGACCCCAGGACCACACATTGTACCCAGACAGCATCTTTGCTCTACCAGTCCTATGACAACATGGCTCATGACGTGGGTTGGGTGGGTGATGATTGCCTGACCCTCCACAAGCCTTTGGCAGTCTTCTACTTCAGTTCTCACATCTGCTCCTTCTGGTTCCTGTAACTCCGTAACTAGTTTCTATGGGATGACCTGAGGAGTCCCATGGGAGAGATCAGCAGTCTCCTGAAGCCAGCCCTCTCACCTTTACCAGTTGGGCAGTGGCAACGTGCCACACCTTGACCATCCCTCGCTCACAGCTGCTCACGATGTAGGTGTCATTGATCCTGGTGGCAAAGATGGGGTCTTTGTGTTTGACTGTCTTCAGGCACTTCCCTGTGTCTATATCCCACACTGAAGAGAAGAGAGAGGAAGGGAAGAAGTGGAGAATGGGGACAATTACAACCGAGTCGGCTCCCCATCCCGGAAACCAAGACTAGCAAAGCCTATCCAGGCAGATCCCAACAGGCTTTCCCCTGGGTGGGCTTCCTCAATAGCTCATCCACCTGCAGCACAGAGCTCCTGACCAGAGAGAGCCAGCAGGGCACAAGACCTGGCTCTAACCCTGACTCAGCAATGGCCTGAACAGCTGTTTCTAATAACTCTTTTCCTCAAGCCTGAAAGAAGGAGTCCCTGAATAGAGCAAATGGTTAAGTGTTCAGCTGCCAACTGAAAGGTTGCAGGTTCAAGTTCTCCCAGAGGTACCTTGGAAGAAAGGCCTGGTGATTCTGTTTACAAAACATCAACCACAGACAACCCCATGAAGCACAGTTCTACTCTGACACACATAGAGTCGCCACGAGTCAAAGCCAATTTCATGGAAACTAGTTGACTTTTTTTTAAAAAAGGGAGATAAATGTGGAATAAAACTTCAAATTCTTAAAAGACTCCAAACTTACTGGACGTTTTGGGGCAGGAGGAGACCCTGAGATAGGTATTGAGTTGCTCCTTTGTACTGAAACTATCCCTTGAAATCACCTTTGAATCAAACAGCAAATTAATAAAAGAATAAAGTATTGCGTTAAAAAAAAAACAAAAACTTTATGACCAAAATTTCAACAACTATTTTAAAGCATAAATGAGAAAGTTGGGGGGCTGCTTTTGGATGGGAAAGGACGTGAAACAACTAAAACAGAAAAATTATAATGTTGTGGCAATATGACGACTGTAACCGATATCACTGACCATTATGTCTAGAAACTATGGAGCAGGACTGGGTTTTGCTGTCTAGATTTTCACCAAAAATCAAATGAAATGATAAAATAAAATTTTTAAATATTAAAATCTTGATTACAGAGACCTTTGGCACTCCCTTAAATTTTCTGCCCTAGGCAAGGACCTAAAGGCTTCATTTTAGTCCCAAGCTGCTGATGGCCCAGAGGATTCTCCCAGCAGACTTGAGGGCCTTGTCTGCCTTTCCATCACCAAACCTCACCCAGGTAGTTTTGATCCTTTCTGCTCCACTCCTTAAAGCATTTGCAGCAATTCGATATTCATTCACGTCAAAGAGAGAGAAGATGTAAGAAATCACATTTCTAAAGCAGGTCTGTGTGTTTGAGTGTGTAACACCACTTCACTATACCTCTCCCACATCTTTCTCTTCCACTTTTCCCTGACATACAGTGGCTTCAATCTCTTGCTTATCTTATCTTCTCTCATACACACACACAAGAGGGCTTCAAAAAGTTCATGGAAAAGTGGCATTCAAAGATAATGGAATTTGTCCACAAATTTTTTGAAGCCCTCTGGTATACTTTTTAAAGTGTGCAATTCAATGGTATTAATTACGTTTGCTCTACTGTGCAAGTTGTTGTCTCTGAATCATGGCAAATCCATGTGTTTCAGAGTAGCACTGTGCTCAATAGGTTTTCAATGGCTGGTTTTTTAAAAGTGGATCACTCAACTTTTCTTCTGAGGGGCCTCTGGGTGGACTTAAACCATCAACCCTTTGGTTAGCAGCAAGCTTGTTAAGTATTTGGACCACCCAGGGACTTCAGGTACAATTCTTGGTCAGTGACCGTCATGAACAATCACCTCGTCTGTCAGGGGAGGCTTGCATGTTGCTCTAAGTCTGAAGAGATTTCAGTGGAGCTTCTAGACTGAAACAGACTAAGAAGAAAGGTCTAGCAATCTGCTGAAAATCAGTCAATGAAAACCTTACAAATATCAATGCAACATGTAACCTGCAACAGATCAGATGAATGCGGTGTTTTGTTCAGTTTTGCACGGAATCGCCATGATTTGAGGCCAACTCAATGGCAGCTGACAACTAAGTCATAACCACTATCCATCTCCAAATGTTCTCATCACCTTTAAAGAAACTCAGGGCCTCTTCAACAGTGACTACCTCTTCCCCTTTCCAACCTGCCTCTGATAACCAATAATGCACTTCAGTCTCTATTCAATGGTCTACTTAGACTGTTTTCACTCTTTCCACCTGCAGTTCTAGGGAGATGTCGTCCACACATGTGGCTTCCATCATTCATTTGAATTGAAAACTACCAAGGTCAACCTGTCTGGAGCCCCAGGCAGGTATCTCCATTCCTATATATGTCTGCTGGAAATCCTCCCTTGGATGCTCTCTGGAATCTTGTATTCATGTACCAGTTTTCTATGCCTACTGAAACACATTACTATAAATTTAGTGGATTATAACAACACACATTTATTATCCTACAGAAGTCTGACATGGATCTCAGAGGGCTCAAATCAAAGTGTCAGCAAGAGTGTGTGCCTTTCTGAAGGTCTTAAAGGAAACTTTATTTCCTAGTCCTTTCTAGTATCTAGAGGTCACCTACATTCCTGGGCTCATGGCCCCCTTTCTCCAGCTCCACAGTCAGCAACATTCTTGCATTGTCACATCTCCTTTTGATCACAGCCAGAAAAGTTTCTCTGTTTTGTTTGGAATGTTTTATTGTGAATTATATGATAGTTTACATGGGAGAACTTTAGTTTTACATTCATTCCATCTTATATCATCTCACTGCCATGGTTCCAATCCC